AAAGAAAAGTGAGGAACAGGGACCAACCTAGACTCATACTACCTCAATCACTGTTCTAGCAAGGCTCCGGACCCATGCGAGGGACCTTCCCAATACTGTTGTGAGGCTAGAATGACAACTTCCTGGTTCATGCCGCTTCCTATCATCCCCATCCCCGCCCCAGATAGGAAGTGGCACGAACGAGGAAGCTGTCATTCTGGCCTCGCAATAGTATTGGAAGGTCCTTACATCTGAAGTGGTCGCGTAGGTAGGAAGAGAGCCGGGAGAGAGCCGATGCGAGTCGAGTCCGAGCCCTGTAGGTAGGAAGAGAGCCGATGCGAGTCGAGTCGGAGCCCGCCTGAAGAAGTCGATCCAACATCGCGATGCTTCTGGAGCATGCCTGAACGGCCGTGGAGAATGGAACATAGAGTAGTAGATCTTCACCAGAGTAGTAGATCTTGACCAGACTGACCGAGCCATCAAAGGAAGAGAGCAGCTACCAACCGACACGACGTCAAAGACTGAAGAGGACTCTAGCATGCCAACCGTAGATAGATGAAGAAAGGAGTGCCCTTGCATGGCACGGACCGAAAAGACAGAGGAACCAGGATTGCATTCGAAGGAACTGTCTACCAGCAATGATATCAATCCTGCGACAATAGATATAATAGAGAGAGAGAGAGAGAGAACAAAAACAGAGTCAGTCTCGAGCTAGAGAAATGCATGAAAGTATTGTGCCCCCCGACCTCTGGTGTCATCAGCAAAGAATAGTACACATTGCTTTGCTCGCAATCAAAGTGGATGGATGGACGGTTGGTTGGTTGGTTCTATGGTTGGTTCGGAATTGGATGGTATGAAAAAGGGTAGAGGGAGGGTTGGTTGGTTGGTTGGTTGCGCCGCATTGGTTGGGTGGGTGGCATGGGTGGTGGCTGGAAATGAGCGAATGTGTACTATCCTTTGGCTGTGTAGGCAGACACCATAGGAACGGGGACAACGCACGGCCCTTTTCGAGAGAGAAGCATGAAGGACTTACCATTGTCAAGGATTGAATGAATCATTCGAGAGCGAGAAAAAGACGAGACGTCCGAGGGAAAAAAGGTTGTGTATGAGATTGTGATTTTTTGAGGTTACCGTAACCCACTCGACTCCTTGTTTCCTTTCGCTTTTGAAATCAAAATACTAGTAGTAGGTTCAACGATAGCTTTTGATATCAAACTGGGGATATCAAAATAAATCAACGCTGTGTTTTGAAGTGGTCGTGTCGGCAAAGATAGAGTTTCAAAATGAAGTTTCGAACTCGAAATAAATGTCGTCGATGCTCTGGAAGTTTCCGAGCTCGTTGCGTCAAATTAAAATTGTTGTGGCGCGTTTCGAGCCGCCACACGTCGGGCTACCGTATCCTCATCCCTGTCGTAGATCGCGGAGTGTCAGTGGAGTCATCAAGGCCGTTGGTGCTTCGGAAGGACGGGTCATTTTGCTTCAAATTCTTGTCGACGTGTCAACCCATTAAATCCGTCGGGGAAACCACCTGCTGTTTTTGAACCCAAAATCGAATGTGATTTGAAAGCGACACAACGACACAATACAAATCAAACATCGAGCTGCAAGAAACAAAGATCGAAGGCTTTGGCAACTGAAAGGATCTCTTGTCTTCCATAAGTTCCAACGCAACGCTGCATTCCATTTGTCAGAAGAAGCAGAAGCAGAAGAGCGGAGAGAGCGAGGCTGTGAGAAAGAAGATTCTGTCTGAACTACAGCGAGATCGGTCTTTTTAGTGGTGTGGCTGCGACTCTTTTTCTTTGTTGGTTTTGTTGGTTATCCTCATTCTTCATCATAACAAGCAACAACTGTCTGTTCATACACTGATAGCTTGCTAGCTAGCTTGGTTCAGTACTTCATAATCAACCAGCCAAAAGCCAATACACAAGAAAGAAAGCAAGAAAGATGACGGAAGGCGTGGGAGATGACTTTTTCGATGATTGCAAAATGTCGGCAACGCCGATGATGCCGTCATCGTCTCTGGGTACTTCACCTCGCAATCGCAACAACAACAACTACAATAACAATAATGCCTTTGGAGGACGAGGTGGTGGAGGAGGCGGCAAGAAACGGAATCAGAATCGAAGACGGAAAAATAATTCCTTCAAAAAGGAAGACGGCAATGGCAACAACGACTACCCAAGTTACAACAACCTGCAATCCAACAACAGTAATAATGGATCCAATAACCGGAGTCCTCAGTCGGAAGGCAATGGCAAGAAAAAGAACTACAATAATGCCAGAAGTCGCTCCAACTCTCCCATGACCGGCGCCGCCCGATCCAAGTCACCCAACGGTGGCCGCTCCAGGTCGCCCAAGGGCTGCGGCAAGAATAATCGAAACAAACACCACAATGCCAACTCCAATGATCTTCATCACCACTACAACCCCAAAAAGGATGGTCCTCCCGATATCACCGTCGTTGTCAACCGCGTCGACTTGTACGACTCGGCCGCTCACATTGTCGCCGTGGCAGTCGACGGACCCAATCAACACCCGGCTCCTCCCTATCCCGTACAACCATTCAACTTTGATAAGAATCGACACGCCAAAAGTATCAACAAACGCAAATTCGCCGATTGTCTCGTGGCCATTCAACGAGTACCTTATTCCGTCAAGTACGTGCCCTGTGAAGATCTATTGGCGACGCACGAAACGGTTCCCTTGCCACCGCGGGCTCATTCTCCCACGCCGCCCCATGGAGAATCCGTCGTTGACAATACCACTCCCAATCCATACGACAAATCCATTGACAAGTACTGGGCGCAACGAAGACGACTCTTTGCCAAATTCGATCAGGGCATTCAACTCGATTCCGAAGGATGGTACTCGGTCACACCCGAAATTATTGCCGATCATGTTGCTCATCGAGTGGGGGATTTGGCGGCGTCGTCGACGACAACGGGGGGCTGGGTCGTTCTGGATGCTTTTTGTGGATGTGGTGGAAATGGGATTGCCTTTTCCAAAGTACCTGCCGATCGCATTTCGCTTGTGATTTGTGTCGATACCGATCGCAACAAATTACGCATGGCGGCACACAATGCCGCTCTCTATCATATCCCACCCTCCCAAATTGTCTTTGTCGAATGCAATTCCATCTTTATTCTCAAACATTGTTATCGCAATGGAGAATTCATTCTCGATCAACCCGATCTACTCATTCAAGCCGGAGCCACGCCGCCGCAATTGCCCTCTCCCGTGCACACGGAAGTCTATGAAGGATATCATATCGGTGGCATTAACATGTTGCCGCGGCGTATTGATGTCGTGTTTATGGATCCACCGTGGGGAGGTGAGTTTCAGCAGAAGCAGAATTTTCAATGAGCATTTGTCCAGTTATTTGCAAAACTCACACGCGTCTTTCTATTTCATTCTCCCTTTTTTTGTTGACCAGGGGTCGATTATGAGGTTCTCGGAAAGAATGGATACGACTTGGAAAAGAATATGAAAATTCGGTGTCAAGTCTGTCTAGAACCCGATGAGAAAGATACCATCAAAGATGACTTTTTCGATTCCTTTGCGACACAACCAGCAAACACACACCACAAATCGGGCAAGGCCAAGAAAAAGGCCAACTTTAACAACAATATCGTCGATGACTATGTCAATGGAGCAGATATGTTAAAGTATGCTGCTGCGGCCACGTCGACCCGACTAGTGCTCTACGACTTGCCACGAAACACGAACAAAACATCTCTGGGACAATCTGCGTTGGCCGCTGGTTATCGAGGGAACCTGAAGTTGGAAGAACATTTCCTCAATGGTCGTCTCAAAACGGTCACGGCATACTTTGGGACGGACTTTTCAAAGTTGCTGGATTCCACAGAAACCAACCAAGCCGAATTACATCAACCCGCATCGCCGTATCCAACAACGGATCAGAGCGATGACGACGAGGCCGACAACGAAAAAGAGTAAATAGAATGGCTTCATTCTATCCTGGTTTTCGGCTCGTCTTTGCTGTTACAATGTTGGACGGGAGACGCACGGCCAACGAGAGAGTCTCGTGGTGGTGGCATTTTTTGAAATCTAACCTCGAATGAATGAAAGAGATGCAAGAGATGGTCGTCCAGTCCAGCATTACACAACAGTACTGTAGCATTGATAGTTAGAACAAGTTACAGTATCATACAACATTCCTCCATGTTGGCATTGAAATGTCCAAATCAGTATCAGTTTCAGTTCCTTCCGTAATCTCCACTGCCTCATATGGCACGCTATCGTCTTTCATCTCCTCGTCGTCGTCGTCTTCGAGCAGACAGTACGTGATGGAATACCATGAGAGGCCCGCACACGTAACGATAATGAGTAGAATCGAACAAACCAATGCTGTCTTGTTCCCGTGAAACCCACGTTCAAAGTCGTCAATGATGGATGCAGCCGACTGTTCCGAGTCTGTGGCAGCTACCGTAGATTGGCACTTTTCACCACCAAATCCAGGTGGACATTCGCACACACTCTTGGCGCCAGCCCGAAAAAGACAGGTCCCACCATTGTAACATTTTGTACCATCTCCACAATTCATATACGGGATCTCACAGTATTTCCCTTCAAACAGTCCAAAGCACTGACAAACGTAGTCGTCAGGATTGCGGTCTAGCTCGACTTGAAAGCGAGGCTCGGACATTTGATGATATCGGCAGTAGCCACCATTCTGACATTGCAATGGACAAAAGCTGTTGCATCGAATGCCGGCAAAGCCTACAGCGCAGTGGCAGTACTTGTACGAATGATTCTCATTGGGCTCCGCACAAACTCCACCATTCTCGCATTGCGTGTCATTGTTGCAAGTGTCATCCATCTCGTTGGCTTGTACTACAAGTAGTGATGATGATTGTAGGTGAAAGACCATGCCGACGACAATAAGAAATAGCCGTGGAGGCGTAGAACGGAGCCATTGTGGTCGTTTTTGTGGCCGTGGGAATGTCATTGGCCGGTTGAGAAGCGAATTCTCCCTTCTGACTTGGGAAAAGTCAGGGGTTTTCTTGGCGTCTTTGCTGTCTTCAGATAGCTCACTAGAGATGATCCGTTGTCTGGAGAGGTTGTCGGTAATGGTGCTCTTTGGCTTCTTCTACAGAGGTCCCAGGACTGTTTTGTTTGAGGAGCTGTTTGAGGGTAAATTGTGAGAAAGAAAGACCTCCAAAAATTAGATCAGTCTTGCGAATGTTGTGCCTGTCACGATACGGTAAGGCTAAGGCTGTACAACAACAATAAGGATAAGGACTTTTGCTGGATCCAGCAACAGCAGCAACAAGAGCTCCTCGTGCATCACTCCTTCGGCATCCATCTCATCGGCACTATCCAAGTCGACAGGTAGCATCAAGTAGTGCGCTAGTTCCTTTGGATTGTCAACTGTTTCTATTATCTATTGACTAGTTAGTATCGCCACCATGTTGTCTCGAGCGGCAAGCACCATTGGTAGGACATCGGTTCGACGAATGCGTCGAGGGCCATCCACCACTACAACAGCGGTAGTGCAGAGGCGTACCATGGGTGGAGGAGGTGCCGCCATGGAGGGCAGCCCTGCCATGATGGGCACGGCTGCAGAAGTCTTTGGAGTGATTTGTTGGTTGTGGGTCTTTAGCAGGGCTCGTGAGGATTTGCCATGGATCTTGGGATTCCGACACCCTTGGGATCACGTAGAGGATCCTTTTGCCCCTCACGATTCTCATGGTCACGGCTCAGCTTCCAAAGAGGAGACTATTGCGAGCTGGGACAAGTTTAATGCGAGATCCATCAAGCCTGGCGAAGACGATGATGATGATGACGACGAGGATGAAGACGATGATGACGACGATGATGATGACGAGTAGATTTCCTGTTGGCCAAACTGTATTGAATATCAATACCAAGACGTACTGGATATTCGCCCCCAACTCGCCGAGGTGTGAATTCCATTCAAGTCGATCCGCAGCGAAATGGTGGCGAAAGTGGTGCCTTGGCTATCATGGCTATAGACGAAAGATTCGTACACCCAAAGTACTAGATTTGTGTTTTTCCATTGGGGGTCATGCCTCTAGTGCTAACTATAGATAGCTAGCCAACATGACACAGTCAGGGAAAACACGAGGTGCCCTTACAGAGGGCACAGAACTTTTGAACTCGTCATCCCCCCACTACAACATGGTTAGCAATAATCTCTCCTTTAAAATCTCCGGGAGAGTAGCTTCTCCGTCGAGCTCAAGTGAAGGAAGGGCGAAAGCAACCAGCTTTGTCATCTTTCCTGCTCCGAGTGGCTTCTTTGCTGGTAGCCCTCTTAGCCGGTAGCCCTCTAGTCGGATGTCCGTCCACCCGGTCCCCTCCTTTGTCCCAGGCATATTGCCCCTTCGTCTTCAAAGACTTCACACCAAAAGACACCGAACAACAACACTGAAGCAAAAGCAGTGACCATGCATGTCATGGTTCGTTGCATCCGTCCGCACTACATGTAGCTACCTGCCGTGGTTTGCTGCGTCTTGAGCATGCCCCGGTTCAGTCCATCGCCAAGCATTTTGCTCCTTCGTCTTCAGAGAGCCCGCACTGAAGACAGCGACAAGCAAAAACGAAGCTCCCAGAGGAGCCACTGTTACTTTGACCATTCAACAACTTCATCAAGCAAACTCTGGACAGAGTTCGCCGACATGAAACAAGTCTCTTCCTCGGAGGCATTGGCATAACAAAAAACCTCCAGTTCCTTCAACTTTGAAGAGCTGGAAGCAATGGACCTCCAAAGATCTCGGAAATCTTCTCTTGAGACGCTGTTGCAATCACTGATAAACAAATCGAGCTTAGACGAAGCCAAACCTGACAAAGATTCGGACAAAGGGGAGACGGCTTCAATACCACACTTTAAAATTGACAGACGCAAAGCCCTCAGATCAGACATAGTCGCAATGCATGCCGCCAAGAAGTCAATTGATTGCAACTGTTGGCTGTCGTCCACACTACATACGAAAGTGTCCAGGCATGAAAGCGGCCCAAGATGAAGATGCATCGAAGTCACCTGTAAGTTGTTGAATATCAGACTCAATTCCCGCAGGGATGTAATGGAGCCCAGCAGAGGGGCGTTCAATTCAGCGAGTGAGGTAGGAGGACATAGCTCAAGTTTCACCAACTTAGACATGGACTCGAGAGGTTCAAAGAATTCGTTTGCCGTCAAGTTGCAGTTCCGTTCCCAGCTCAACATCAAAACCTTCAAGTTGGATAGTGACCGCAAGCCTCCAATGGATTTCATTCTTTTGAGATTCAACGTGAGCTCCTCAAGGTTGACAAGCGACGCCAGGCCATCAAGGTTGTCTGGATGTTCAACGTCTCCAGAAAAGGCCAAATGCAATTTCTTCAAGTTTGTGAGCCTCCCAATTTGGCAAAATGAGTTGATCAGCAGCTTTTCACCACGAAGGGAGAATGTCAATTCCAGTTCCCTCAAGCCGGTGAGCTGTTGCAATTCCAAAAATAGATGGTTTGTGCACCTCAGGCAACTGTCATTCATAACACCCCCCACCGTTAACTCGAAAGTCTTCAGTTGCACAAGTCGGCCTAAACCGACAGCAAACTGATCGCTTGATTCAAAACCAATGTCGCCATAGTCAAGCTCTAATCTGCGAAGAGAAGCTGGAGGTAAGGACTGCATAAAGTAGAGCGCTTCATCCTTGAACGCCTGGCAGCCCCTGAGAAATAAATTCAAGCTCTGCAGTTCCGGGTGCTTAGAGAGGGCAGATCGGTATTGTGCCATGTCATTGCCTTGTTCAAGAGCATTCCGATAACTTGAAATCGCAAAGAAACCATTCAACAAGGCATTGACTCTCTCATATCCAGGGTGTGACGTTGGTGGATCCTCAACGTTGTCCAAACCTCCTGCAACACCTTGCCTATTGTTTTCAGTGCTGCATATGTAATGCAGGATCCTCTTTTTGTCCTGATCCACAGTTGCATTGGCATGTTCGAGCTGGATGTCCAACGCCCTCTGGCAAATTTCCATCGGGAAATCTTGCTGGCGCGCCAGTTGCGCAGGAGGACAACTTCGATCAACATGCGCTAACCCATCAGTAAGCCCAATTGCTCGAGATTGCTGTCCTCCAGTAATAGCGTATACGTCGTAGAGATGGTGGTCCGATTGCTTGCCCTGAATGTCACTCCTGTCGGAGTTTGCTTTAGTGAGGACACCCGTGGAAATCGCCACTTCGAAAACACACCAGATTCGGGTGTAACAGGTTGCCTTTGTATCTACAATGGAGACAGTCCCATCTGCAAGATTGATTGCCCGATAAAAAGGAATAGTTTGTAGATAATTCTCATGTGAGCTGTCACCTGGCAGTTCGCCGTCAAGACGATGTTGATTGTTCGCAAACGCACAGACCCAGTAGGTTGTTGAAGGGTCGTCCACATCCATGCCACGATCCCTTGCATGCCGATCCAAACAATCCACCAACTCGATGAAGGTCCCACTCCACGCATGAGAAACAAACCATTTGGGCTTTTGAGGTTCAGATGCCACGAGCTCGACGTAGCTGCATTGATTTTTTACGGTCAAAGGTTTAACCAAATGGTCAACCAAATCATACAGCGAAAGGTTTTCGGGCTGAAGAAGCTGATGCGACAAGGTATTTCTCCATCCATTTTGCACACAGTGACGAAGGATGTAAGCAACCAGCTGCTTCAGTTGTCGCAGTGATATGGCCCGGTACTCTGTTTGGGGAATAGAAAAGCTCGCTTGCTCCCACAGGTTAGAAGCATCAAGAATGTTGCTGTCAGATGTATGTATCAGATACAGCTTCAATGGAGCCCCGCTCCCATCATATATTGAGCTCATTGAAATTCCGTCGTCTCCCAACAGAGATCCATCCAAGAAGAGATGCTGCTCTTCCACTGGCCCAAGGGAGTATGGAGGTTCATGCTGCAGACGGATTTTTAGATCAGCCAATGTGTCTGATGCAGTCTGAAAACCAACTTGGATGGTGCCACCAGCCAAGGTATGAATCAAGGCACAAAAGGGCATCATTTGGATGAAGTAGGCGTCTTCAGTGCCGCCGTAGTCGCCACCGTAGTCGTTCAGTCTGCTATCACAGATCACTGTTTGCTCTCTGTCCAGGCAGAATCTAATTTGCTGCGACACGATTGGCCAGTTGCTGTAATAGAGGTATTGCTGTGCATGTGGGACTCCTGAAGCTTTCTGAATTGTTTCTTGTAACTCCGAAACAGAGACGCATCTGTGCAGTCTTAGCGTGAGTGCTTGTTTTGAACCATTGGGATCTTCCACATGCACATCAACTTGCGCATGGTAAAGGTTGAATAGAATGCTTTTGCTTGAAGAGTTTGGAGTCTCGAAAAAATACTCCTGGAATGATCGAATTTCCAGCCAATCGTCGGTTATGGCTTTGCGCCAAACATCTGGACAGTCGAATATATTATCTCTGTCTCGATTTAGGAAGAGGCGTTGCGCCTCAATTGCCAAGTCGACAGAAGGCAATTCTTTTGCTGCTTTCGCCTTGACTTTTTCCTTTACCGAGGCAACCGTGGTATCCAAAGGTAGAGAGGACAGGTCCAGCAAAATTTGTGTGTCTTCGTCATCTCCCGTGTCCATGAGCCGGACCAGGCACTTGATGCCGTTGGGTGCATCCACCTCAGCCGTGCTCTCTTCGACATCTCTCATGATTGCTTCACAATTCCCTCCTGGAGAGATCGCTGCGTCCGCCGCCAACCAAGTGTCTTTCGTTTTCCCTCTCTCCGGTACCGGTACCGGTACTGGTACTCCTTTCTGGACTGTCACTCAGCAACTGACGAATCGAATCCAGTTTGTTTGCCTCAGCCATTGTAACAGAAGCACCACTATCATACCCCGAACGGTACTAGCTAGTACGGTTGTACCCCCGGATCTTTGGATCTTTGATTTATCGTAGCTACGGAAGCATAAGGTTAAGGGTTGACCAATTTCGTCTCCTGGAGACGATTTGCTTTAGGGGTAATGGTACCGATGGGGGCAGAGGTTTGAATTATACCCGGCGCGCATTACTTAGAAGGCCCTGTAGAAGTCTACGTATTCGACTAGTATTGTATTGACGGGATACAGTCAACGCATGTACATGCACATGAAAGTCGCCTTGCGTTCTTCACATTTTAAAAGTTGGCTCCTAATTTTTCGGGGTCGCCTGTGATTTGATTGGACGCTTGGTCTTTTTTCAATGACTGACATTGAATGACGTACGAGGTGCAATGCGAATCTCAGAAAGGTAGTTGTAGTAATAAAAGTTTTTATATACAGATTAATTTACCCTATATCCCTACCGTTCATACTTATAACAAGAACCCGTCTTCTCGCTGGAACATTTCATCGTATTGATCTTTTCCTAGGACAGAAAGCCCAATAGTATCCTTAAATCTTGCAAGCATGTCTCTCATTCGTTGTGGCATGGCAAAGTTCTTTGGATCCCAATCCAGCTTCTTCAATAAGAACAAACCACTCATGGTGTCGTTAACGAGGTGTACTCTCGTGGTGGATCTTAAGTGTTGATGTCGACCATCGAGTGGTT